GCTGCACTTTCCTCTAACTTTTTACGTATATATGCATAACATACCTATATATATATATATTTTTTTGGTAAAATTCTATGGGCATTCACGTGAATAACCATGAATCACATGGGATCCGCCCCTGGTCGTCGGCCGTCGCCGGCGGCGGCGCGGCAAGGAGCAGCAATGCTGCTGCTGCTAAGGGGAGGAGTGCGTGCATGAGGCCCATGTGTAAGTTGTTATGTGCTAGCTAGGTTGATGGTTTTGCCATGTATTTATAGAGAGATTTGCAGGTGAAGCTTCATGTCCTCTTGTGGTGTTCATGCGTGATGTGCATGCGTATATAAGTTTAATGGATTGATTCGTCCACGTGGATTGGAGCTTATGAGATGTGAGCATTTGACTCGATGATCAGCGGCTAGTTCGTCGGTGCTGCGCGATCGATCATATCTCGATCCAGAGCTTAATCGTGTCAATCTTGTTGATAGGGCTTGAAGGAGAACATGTGGATGGCAATGATCTCAAATTCTCAGGTCATTTGCGTAAACGCCATCGGCGGCACTCCGGCTGAGCGAGCCGACAAGGCGCGCCACCTCCTCGCGGCGGGCGCGGCGGAGCCGGTCTAGCGTTCGTCCGGCAAGGAGCTCGTGCACCGCCGCCCAGCTCCTGCCCCGCTGGCTGCCGCCAGTGCAGCTGCTCCCCCACGCGCCGCCCGTGGAGATTGGAGAAGGGAGGAGAGAGGAAGAGAGGTGGAGAGGGGAGGGAAGAAGAGGCTGATGCGTGGGGCCCACATAGGTCCCACGCTGAGTCAGCTGCCACATAGGATAAAACCGGAGTTAAAATTGCTGAGGGACCTAGTTTGCACTGGTTTTGTAAGTTAGGGTGTCGGTAATATAGGCCCGGGGATACCTACGCTGAGGGGAAGGGGTCCTTTCCCTTCTACCACGTGGCCGCGTGGCCCGGATCCCCCATCGGGGGATCGGATGCACGGATAGTGAATAGCCAAGGGGTGCCCATGTCTCCCCAGGAGGCTCGGGGGATCTCGTCGTACCCCTCGGGCCCGAGAGGCGGCGTCACCCCGAGGCCCTCGCTCGGCCGCCACGTGAGGGATTGAGCGGGCGGAGACGCGGGCGCTGCCAGGCGTATTCATGGGCGGCACCCCAACCGCCCCCTATTGCATTTAATGCGATGTGGCTGGTCATGTGCCGCCCAATGAGAGACGTGCGCCAGGCAACCTTGACCGGTCTGCGACCGGTGACAGACGGACGGGACAGGCAGCAGCGCACCCACGTCCTACCTTGTGTCAGGCGGCGTGGGGGCAGGTATGTCCTATCTCATCAGCAGCAGGGGATCGACATGCAGGTCGGTGCGCCCCACGGCGTGAGCCCACGAAGTCTCCAAGAATTTATGAGGGAATGACAGGGGATGTCCCCCGTGTCAGGTGGAGGACTTCGCTGGGGACCACCTGAGGACGAGCGTGTACTTCGCTTCCGGTCCAAGGCATGGGCAGCTATTCAACCCAGGCCGGAGTGGGCCCCTCTCCAAGGAGGGGAGCGTAGAGGCAGTGCATGTGGTATCCCCTTGAACTATAAAAGGAGAACCTTGCCCAGCGAGCAAGAGGACGACTCTGGAGAGTTCAAGTTCTAGGAAGAGACTAGCCAAACCCTAGTTGTTTTCCCCTAGGATTTGGATTCCTTGTAACAATCCGCAGATCATCCTGCATACAGGAGTAGGGTATTACGCTCCACAGCGGCCCGAACCTGGATAATACCTTGTCTCTGTCTCGATCACTATTCACCTCGCTAGCCTAACCCTAGGCGAATCCGATTCGCCAAGTAAACATCGCGCTCCCGATCATCGCGCCCAATTCCTTGGCCGAACTCACAAAGGGGGGTCTCACGTCCTCCCGCTAGAGAGGGTCACTCCTCGACATAGGGGATATGTCATATCCGGTTTTGTGGTTCAAGGATGATTTTGTAACTCGAAGACAAGTTGAGGGACCTATGGTGTACTTTTTCCTATATAAAGGAGAGGAGGCTCACTATTGTACCGATAAAAGAATGAATGAGAATGATCCCCTCCACATATCTTATGTCTTCACTCTTGTAGAATATTATGCAACCCCTATGGACTACACATGTAACACATGAGTTGCATAATACTTAGATCTGCATGGATTTGCAATGCATCCTTTAATTCTCTTTCCAGAATGATTAGCGGAAATCAATGGCCAGACAGAGTTCTTTCCGTATTTTTTCCGTATTTCTCATGTGCTTCCATGGGTGATGCTCATCTCACATGGCTCCATAGACGAATTAGGTGATGCTTCCATGGGTTTTTGCCTTTTTGGCACTAGGGAGCTTCTCCCTCTCCAGACTTGGAGACTCCAGTAGTGTTAGGGTTAGCTTATTGGCTTATAATGATTTATAAGTTAGTAGATTTAATATCTTAAGTTTGGTGTTGGAACCATACCTCTATCTCACATAAGAAATAAAAAATCTTCAAACATAGCTTTTGTCTTAATAGTGTTAAAGTGGCTTATGGTTTAAAAAAACAAATCAAAAGCTGCTTGTTCGTTTAGCTTTAGACTTATGACATATAAACCTAAACAAAGAGGGGCTTATAGCCTATACTTGTTGAAGAGCTCTTGTCATTTAGGAGTCGATGCACCGACCTTGTGTAGTCATCATATCTCAAAGAGGTTTGTGAGGACAAAGGGGAGGAAGAAGAAAGATATGATAAGTGGGCCTAAGGGTATTTTTGACATTTCACGTTGTTTAATTTTTTTCTCTTACTCAACTGCAATGAATATTTTCCCTCCGTTTCAGGTTATAAGTCGTTTTGACTTTTGTCAAAGTCAAACTACTTTAAGTTTGACCAAGTTTGTAGAAAACAGTAGTAATATTTTCGAACCAAGATAAATTTATTATAAAAATATATTCAATTATTGATTTGATGAAACTAATTTAGTATTGTGAATGTTACTATATTTGTTTATAAACTTAGTTAAACTTGTAACAGTTTAATTTTGAACAAAGTCAAAACTATTTGTAACCTGAAATTGAGTGAGTAGCATCTTCTCTGGAAGATTCATTTTTTTCATGTCCAAGAGCTAAACCATGAACGATTTTTGCTATCCATCTCTCGTGTGATTTTTTTGCTGGCATTTGACACTTTTTTTGGGTCTTGCGATGCGAGTGGCAATTTGCAAGGTCAAACGTTGCATGCAGCCCGCCGGTCGGCTGGCACGTCGACCTATGTCACCTAGCTAGCCCGCGCGCGCGATGATGGAGAAGCACGGTGCCAAGGTGGCCTCTGATCGAGCTGGCCACCGGCAGTACGACCAACGCTGTTTAGCGAGCGAGTGACGCCACCCCTCTCGTTGTCATCGTCGTGAAATATAAAGTTATAGTCCTATATAACTAAAATTATATTTGTAATTTCAGTTGATATGATATGTAATTGCACTGTAATTTTGATAAAAATAATGTGTAAGTAAATACAATATATATTTGTTATTTTCTTTAAAATATAAAATTACAGTCCTATATAACTAAAATTACATTTGTAAATTCAGTTGATATGACATGTAAGTGCTCTTTAATTTTGATTAAAATATTGTGTAACTAAATATATATTTGTTATTTTCTTTAAAATATAAAATTATAGTCCTATATAACTGAAATTACATTTGCAAATTCTAATTTTGATAAAAATATTGTGGAATTAAATATATATTTGTTATTTTCTTTAAAATATAAAATTACAGTACTATATAACTAAAATTATATTTGTAAATTCAGTTGATATGACATGTAAGTGCACTGTAATTTTGATAAAAATAATGTGTAAGTAAATATGTATTAGTTATATTCTTGAGTAAATTTCACAAAACTACACGTTTTGTGGTTCAAGTTGCAGAAAACCACACACACTTTGACACTTGGCACTTGAGTACATATATTTTGGTTGTGTAGTTTCACAAAACTACACTATCGATGTATAGATTCACCCGCAAGATGATGTGACTGTTTCACCTAGGACGAGGATATGGCATCCTATAACCAGCCATCGCATGAAATTAATATGATGCCACGTCCTCATCCTAGATGGAATAACCACGTCATCTCAGGGGTGAATCCATCCATCGATAGTGTGGTTTTGTGAAACTAAACTACCAAAATATATGTACTTAAGTGACAAGTGTCAGAATGTGTGTGCTTTTCTGCAACTTGAACCATGAAACATGTAGTTTTGTGAAATTTACTCTATATTCTTTTAGGGATAATTTTGTTTCTGCCCCTACTTTGATATCTAATATTGATTTTACCCCTACTTTTTAGGGTTTTTATTTTTACCCTCACTTTTTTAAACTGAACGCTTGTTTTGCCCCTACTTTGGATAGTGAAGTTAACGGTGTTAAGTAATTGACAAAATAATATTTATACCCTCTCATATATGTTCATTAATTGTGTTTTTGTCCCCATTTTATGCATATAGCTTTAGAACTTTATTTTTTGAGTATATTTAAAATTAAATGAAGCACATTGACTAATATTTAAAGGGAACAGATAATTACATTTTACAAAATGTTGTCAAAATTTTGTTTAAGTTCTATCAAAATGCTGAAATTTTGTCAAAATTCCATCAAATTCATAATTTGTCCAAATTGTTATATTAGTCAATGTGTGTCATCTAATTTTAAATATACTCCCAAAAATAAAGTTCCAAATCTACATGTATAAAATGGGTAAAAAACATATTTAATGTACATACATAAGAGGGTATAAATATCATTTTATCAATTACTTAACACCGTTAACTTCACCATCCAAAGTAGGGGCAAAACAAGCATTCAGTTCAAAAAAGTGAGGGTAAAAACGAAAACCCTAAAAAGTAGGGGTAAAATCAATATTAGACATCAAAGTAAGGATAGAAACGAAATATCCCCATTCTTTTATAGTCCGTTGGATATAAATCTAAGGGTATAAAAAATTTGGGATCATTCAACAAATGGATAGACAGTCCCAAGAAGCCCATAGCTGTGCCGCCCGTAGGCCAAAAAAAGCCCAAGCCGAAACGCAACTGGCGAGCAAACGGTGGGAGCCTTGGGAGTTGGGAAGTGAGGCAGCGTATTGACTGTGCCGCCGATGGAAGCCACCGCCGGCGGATCACGCCGCCGTCCAACCCTCCTCCGCCTCCTCTGCCCGAAGAAGTCCCTCGTCTCCCCACCCACCCCTTCCCTCCGCTGGCTCCTCGGCTCCCCGCGCTTCCTCCCCCCTCTCACCGTCGCCGCCGCCCTCCGCTCCCTCCCCGACGGCGCCTCCTCCCCCGATCTCCAGCGAGAAGCAGGTAAAACCCTCTCGCCTCACTCGCCACCTTCCTCTATCTATCCAGTGCGCTCTCTCGCTTGACAATCTCGTGGTTCCGTGCAGAGGAGATCAGGGGATTGCTCGTCAGGGGGTTCGACATCGTGGGGGCGGTGCACGTCGGGAGCGCGGATGCCGGCGGGGCGCTGGAGCTGGCCCGGGCGGTGAGGGAGAGGCTGTACGGGGAGAGGGCGAGCCATGGCATGGTCGGGGGCTGCGTGGAATTGGGCACCGGGGAGATTCGGTTTGTTGTTTCTGAGGGGGACGGGGTGGAGGCGGTGGAAGTGACGGAGGTTGTGTGGGAGGATGATCCCGGGAGGTTGCTGTGGGAGAAGGGATGCCTTCTCCGCTGCGAGCTGCTGCTGAAGCTCCCGCTCTATGTTCCTTCGGATGATACGTCTGGTAATTGTTCGATCCTCTCCTTGAGCTTCAGAGACTGAAATCCTTTTTGATAGTTGCAGTGCAAGCATGATGGTTCTTACTTTGCATGCATTATTTGAAATATGTAGCACGAATGCACGATCATGTTGTAAATATCTTAAGACTTAGGTACAGCACGATCATGCTGTAAATATCTTGATGTCATCAAGCAAATTGTGTTTGGTATGATTATCTTTCACATAGCAAAATGGTATAATAAGCTGCATGAATGGTTTTTTTAATAGGGAGTAGGGGATGTGGGGATTGTGAAGTGTTAAGGGTAAATTTCAGTAGGCAGGTATTTGTTATGATCAATATTCACATGGTTTGTACAACACAAATATCACCATGATAGTTTACTTGAAGACATTACATTTAATAAAACAGATGGAATACTTCCATTGGATGATATGAATAGAAGGACCTAAGTAAACTATTAGCAATGCAAGGACCAAATTGCTTCATGTGTTGTCAAAGTTGGAGATGTGCCTACTTCACCTGTATGGTTTTGATTCTGGCAAATGTTTATTCAAATGTTTCCAAATTGTTTATTATGTATTGTGTCACTTTTTGCAGGCATTGAAGCAAGGTTTTATTCACTCATTGAATCAACAGCTTCTAAGCTCAGAGATCCTCATGTTTCTTACCTAATCGAAGGCCCACGAACAACTCCTGGTGAATCACATTATTCTATTATCTTGCATGGCAATGATCTGAATTCTGTTCCCCATTTATCTCGAAATGGAAGCACAGAGGAGTATGATGCAAATATTGTATCTTGTTCAAAATTCTTCCCAGCAAAGAGGAGCCTCTCATTGACAAGAGAGGTAAGCTTAGACTCAACTAAACCTGCCATATAAGTTGATACTTAACTTAATACTTCCATGTTGTGATTGGTTGTTAGTTCCAATTTGATACAAATTTATTTCTTGGTGAGCTTGTGAGAATATGTTTCCTGGAGCTCGAATGAGGAATGTGGAGTATGGACATTGTCAGCTTGGTTCACTTACCTTTCGCCTGTTCATGAAGGCATCAAATTTTAAGTATACCTAGCTTCAATATCTGGCAATGAAAGTTTATGTTTCAAATTGCCTGACTGACATGTATAGAAATGTGAAGTACATGAAGTTATATTGTTTTGAAAATGCCTAGTAATATATATCATATTTGGTGCATTCTATAGTAGGATGATGCAGACTTCTTGTACCATTCTGTGAGCACCTTTCTGAAAATTTTATTTGCTAGAATGCAGATGCAATTCAAATAACCATATTGTCCAATCAGTCATTCAATAGCTCAAAGGCTAGCACCCCAGCAGTTGAGTACTTTCCAGGTACTTGTTTTCTTGAACTTATTTTGCGCCCTCAAAAGTTTAAATCCCTCCATTGTACTGATTGTGGTGTGGCAGCTGGCATTCTGCCTAGTAAAGCAAATTCTTTGTGCAGAAGTACACTTAATTATTTATGCTTCAACATTACTTAATGTCATACAATTTTTTCGTTGTCCACTTCAATTCAGGAAATGTTACTCTCCCTTAAAGTAAATATGCTCTTGTTCTTTTTGCCAGCACCTGCATTGGCTAGCCTGAGAGCAATCAACTTGAAGCTAGATATACTTTGCTACACTTCAGTAGATTTCCCTGTAGCTGCTGCTGTGTCTGAGCTTGTTATTCCAGGATTAGCTGATCAGCTGAGCATTATGAAGAAGGCTATTGTATCAGAGCTCACAACTCAACAACCCCAGGTACATAATAAGTTAGCCCACGCTTGGCAAGGCAATTAGCTGTCCAGCAGCAGTTATGGAATGCGAACCACAAGAACTTTTCACCGCAAGGGCACCCAGCTCTTCCAAATTTTTTGGTGCATTTCAGGATGTTCTAAAATAGATCATAAATGTAGAATATGTGCACATGATTTTTTTTTTGCACTAATATGATCACATGCACTGTGCAAAAGAAATAAAGCGATATTACAAAATTGCACATATTTTTTCCATGCAGTGCACGTGATTACATTTTTGCACAACTATTTGCTAGTTTACATGTTACAATCTAAGTGCAGTGTACAAAACAAAACATGGCTTCATGTGATTCTAGGAGCATATTTAATTTAGCCGTGCCTGCATGAAGTCACTCTTGTGAGTTTGTGCGGACATTAGGGAATAACCACCTGTGCTTCCTTAGTAAGATTGAGCTCTTAGATGGGTGCACAGTGTTACGCATATGCTTCTTTTGATGAACCATGTTGACTGCATTGGAGATGCTCTAGCAGTAGTGTGAATGCTTAAAGATGGTGCAGCAGCAGCAGCATTGTTCCTTTGACTCCACCAATTCACCTAACAAGAGTTGTAGCAAGGATAACTTGTAAAATTCTAGGCCGTGTTTAATTTGTTTCTAGTTTGAATATAATTCTCAGGTGCTAAAAGATGGTAGTCGTGTTCTGAATGTTTGACATCTTATATCTCGTGTCAGCTATGTAATGACTGCAAACACAATCAATCTGGAAGTTATCATAACATTCGCGTCATCTAGTGATTTTGACTTGTCATGAACAAAGCGTACAAGGCATGCCACAAGTGTGACATTATGTAATCACATGTATTCCTTTTATTATCAAGGTTTTTTTGGAACATGGACTTTTAATACCAAATGAACAAGTAAAAGATAAAGGTTGCATGGTATATAGGATGTTGCCGTGCATGTATCTTTTGTTTTAATTTATTTGCATCATTTAATATGATTTCGCTGGTATTTTATATTAAATTGATTGCAGGTGCAAAGTGTTTTTTTCTGAATATTTTTTTATCAAATGGTTATTGCCCTTGTTTTCAGCTTTCTCCGTACCATTTTGTTCCTCCTGGACTGTTAATCCCAGTAACAACTATATATGACACAAGATATGGGGAGATTGAGGAAAAGCAAAGTATGCAATTTTCTTTATATGCTAATATTTTTTTGAGAATTCGTAATTACTTCCAGTGAGCATAGCGTGCATCGAGATAATCTATTTCATGAACTTTACCTAATTTGCAGGTGAACTGAGAAGAAATCTGCACTTACGGCTACAACTTCCCTTAGATCGTCCTTTATTACGAATTTCAAATGCACTAAATTTTTCCATAGGAGGGACAGATAAGAAAGCATCAAAAAGTGGTATGGTGATATGTATATGTTGTTAGAATGTTATACTCCCTCCATTTTAGAATGTAAGATGTTTTTGTTTTGCCCTAAGTTAAACGACTTCAAGTTTGACCAAGTTTATAGAAAAACATATCAACATTTCCAACAACAAAAAAGTATATTATAAAAATATTTTGAATGTTGGATTTAATGAAATTAATTTGGTGCTGTCTAATGTCTGCTTATTGATTTCCGTTTCTTGACACTTCTATTTTGAAAATAATTTTCTTTTTTTCATTGTGATCCACCATCGAGTTCAGGTTCATCATTGCTTCGGGATGTCCACAGAGAGATTCCATCTAGCGGTGGTTCGTAATTTCTCTATATTTTAATTTAAACATAATTAGAAATCCTATGGATATTTTTTAGGGAGATAATGAGTTTTCATTTCTTATTTACTGCAGTATCTGGAGGAATTATATCATTGATTGATGGTTCCTATGAGTACTACCATTACCTTCATGATGGTATTGATGATAATGTAATGCCTGGCTTCCATCTATGCTGAATATTTTTACCTCAGTATCGTACAGTTTGTTTTTGAGTATTTTGTTCAAGCTGCCTATACAACAAAATATTGATGGTTTAGCTTCAGAACAGATTATAGATCCCTAATATGAATGTTGACAGGTAGTAAGTTGAGGTACACGTTACCAAAAAGATTGACATTGATGTGGAATATAAACGAAATATTAGAAATAAATTCAATAATAATGTTTTACAGAACTGTAATCATTCATTGGTGCACCACAGAACCGTAGTTTCAAAAAGATCATTGTAACCATTCTGAATCAAGCAGAACCAATACGATGACTTTGGCTCGACACATGACTGCTTGACTGCTTGTTTTTTAAGTATCATCTCTTTGATTCTTACTTTCTCTTATAAAAATCTCTCTTCAACTCCTTGCATCGAAGAGGGACAAAGCCACCTTAAAATTTGCAACAATAAAATTAACTGTATCTGAACATGAAAGCACTACCATACGTCAAACAGGTGTTAGTGGTGTTTCGGAGCTATTTTCCATGCCCAACACAGTATCTCTACAAACACGATACCTCCTAGACATGATCTTCCACCTCAAACTATGATGTTAGGTTTCATGCACAACTGTCTAGTAATAGCAGAAGTATGGGAAGACACTTCGTAATTAGCACACTTAAATTTCGAAAGTAGATTCCATATTGGGCACAGTTGCTTGCCTTATCACCAAGCCAAAACTTTGGTATTACAGGATGAGACCTAAATATTGTTGTGCTGCTTTGGATTATCCAGTTAGCATTTTGCAGTGTATGCCTGGAGGACAATATCTAGAACTGTGTTTAGTGTCCTCTTCATATGTTTCTAGACTCTTTGTATCTGACCTACTGTTGTTCTGACCAGTCTTGGCCATTTTTCTATTTCAGGGATGGGGATGTGCTTATCGTTCTCTACAAACTATCATGTCTTGGTACAGATTGCAACAGTATTCATCTATAAATGTTCCATCACACAGGTTTGTATGTACTAATATTTTTCATGCCTACATTTCTTGTTGTTTACCGTCACACTTAATTACCAGGTCATTTACATCTATATTTGTTCGATATAAGTATTAGTAATGTATTCTTGAAAACCGGAACAGAATTGTGGTATTTTTGGTATGCTTTACTTAAAATGCAATTAGTCTGGTGTTGTTGATTAATAACATAAATCTAGCTTGCCATATGTGCTTTCAACTGGAGAGACTTTTTTTTACACTTTACAAATTATGACGTCAGACTGATTCATGTATTTGAGACTCCTATTCAGGGAGATTCAGCAAGTCCTTGTTGAAATCGGTGACAAGGATCCATCATTTATTGGATCTCGAGAGTGGATTGGAGCAATTGAACTAAGCTTTGTCCTTGACAAACTGCTTGGAGTATGTTTCTATTTTACTTCCATTCTGATGAACAATTATCTAGATCTTTTTTTTTCTGAGAATGGGAGGGCTTTGTTAGTTAATACCTGAAGTCCATGTTATCAATGCAATATCGTATCTTGTATATTTTATGATTTCAATGTCTATTTCAAATTGGCTTGTGGTGTTGCCTGTATACCTTTAAGCAAAAAACAATCAAATTATATCTCAAGCAAAAAGCAGATATAAATTTGTTATTGCTAGATGTTGGTTCTGTGGCATGTCATGCTATCAGATTGCATGATTGTTCACAGTAAATGTAGCTTGGAATTAATTTCTCCGCAGTTTCTGTTGCCCCTGTTATATGTTAAATTAAACTGAATTTCAAATTGCTGCACATTGAAACCATTCTGGAATCTAACAATCTGATCAACTAGAAGCAGAACTTATCTGAGAACACATACCTTAAAGCAGTTTCCTGTGTTGACACCAGGCAATTTGTTTCCATGTTAGCTTTATGTAGTTTTCTATGTTGATATCATGCCATGTACCATGTTAGCTTAACAGAATATGTGACAACAGGTTAGTTGCAAGGTTATTAATGTGAGATCTGGTGATGAACTTCCTGAGAAATGCAGAGAACTTGCAATCCATTTTGAAACCCAGGGAACTCCTGTGATGATTGGTATGTGCTTTGTTCTACTTGTTTGGTATTATTGTTTGTATCAATCACAGAAACCTTCCTGCAATCTACCCTTATGGTGTAATCATACAATTTGGCTTTTGGTAGATGCACTAAATCAACATGAAAAGTTCCAAAAGGAGGATGATGGCATAGTATATCGATTATTGTAGCGTTCTTAACAATTTGACATTCAAATTCATATTTTGTTTGAAATACCCCCAAAAAAAAGTATTAAATTTTGTGATGAGAAACAGGTCCTTTTGTTCTTTCATTTTCCTTTTTGTTTATCAGCATTTCTTGTTCTTAATGTAGAATGAATATAAACTTGAAGGTTTATACACAGTAGTAAATTCAGAAGTCTTTTACATGTTTAACACCTGATGTCGGCTGTGTTCTTAGGTGAGGGTTGGGAACCCTCACCTCCTGCAAGGAAAACGGAGCGATGGATTAGTGCACGATTAATTAAGTATTAGCTAAAAAAACTTTAAAAATGGGTTAGTATGATTTTTTAAAGCAACTTTCCTATAGAAAATTTTTGCAAAAATACACCGTTTAGCAGTTTGGGAAGCGTGCGCACGGAAAACGAGGGAGAAGAGGATGGGAACTAGAAGAGCCGAACGCAGCCTTAACCAAGCAAGATTGTATCTCTACTACTTTAAAAGCCAGTAGTGGTGGTGGCAGTGAGTCTGCCTCCACCACTACCAATTGACATGTGGGATCTAGCAATAGTACCATATATGTTGGTATATCAAATTAGAATAAAAGAAAGGAGAGTATAGGATAGTCGTAGAATATGGATAGTTTTGATCCATTCTCTGTGTATATAATATAGGCTTTACAACATATAATTAAGTTGTCTTTCTTAACTTCCGTGGCAATGCACAGACATTTAGCTAGTGCTTGTATGATGCAACCATCAGTGGACAGCAACATTGCTTGAGTCGAGATATTAAATACTAGAATGAATATTCTTGCCTTCCGTGCAATTCCACTTTTTTTCTAAACTGAACCCTGCACTTCCACTTGTTGAGACTAGAATGCATTCATCTCCTCCCTGCTCTTCACGTCAAAGAAACATTTGAAACCCTGACGTGATGTTATTCATGGTTGTCTTCAAATAGTTTTGGGTCAATTATGTGCTGAAATCCTGACCCAAACTAATGCAGGTGGTGGAGTCTTGGCTTACACCCTTTTAGGAGTTGACTACAACGAATCCAGTGGTGATTGTGCTTTTCTCATCCTTGATCCACACTATACTGGTGCTGATGATCTCAAGAAGATCGTGAATGGTGGATGGTGTGGGTGGAAGAAATCCATCGACAGCAAAGGCCGTAGCTTCTTCCTGAAAGACAAGTTCTACAACCTTCTGCTACCCCAAAGGCCTAATATGGTGTAAAAACTGCATCGCTATGACACCTCTATGGATCAAAGAGAGTGGTTTGTACATCGCTATGAAGAGAGCTTCTTGATCAGTGTAAAAACTTGCTAAGCAAACTATTTTTCGCTGTCGGAGCCTGGTTTGTACATCTTATCTTGCATGGAGAAACTAGAGCTACAGTTGCCGGCATGTTCGTGATCTCATTGATGTTTTAGTTTGAACTTTATGTTTCTTTGTGGTCATCTCATTCTTTTGCTTCCATCAAGTTCGCTAAACTGGTACGACAACGGTAGGCTGAATACTCCCCTGACACTGGCAAGACAGAAATTAGCATTCCAGGCCAAAAAAGATAGAAATTTACAGATATAAAATCAAGGTTATATGACTTACTGCAATCTTACCTTACTGTCATCCTTATATTAGGATGGAATGATTATGCCTTGAATTTCGTTGCCTGGGCTGCTTTGCGCATACTTGCCACACATTTCCTCATGTCAAACATTAACATCCATCATCTATCTATCTATCTATTATATACTAAAAGTCTATTAAACTTCCTCAAAACGCTCTTAAGCCGACACGTGGCGCTGTAATAAATTAGAGAAAATCCTAGAAAATCAGAGAAAAAAGCAAAACATCCATCCGTTGATCTTCACTTAAATCGGTGGGTTCAATATTATAAGCCGTTAGATTAGATATTGATCTTAAAACAACATGAACAGCGGCTACTCCTTCTATTCCCTTCGGTTCTGTTATATAGGTACGTATACGTAATCAACAGTGGTTACGATCCTTCCGTGTATACGTACGTAATTAACACTTCCTTCTCTTTTTTTTTATGTACACAGTGGAGACAAAAATTATTATTATTATTATTATTATTATTATTATTATTATTATTATTATTATTATTATTATTATTATTATTAAATCATAAATCAATCTATCTATTATATATAGTAAAACTCAATTAATCATCCTACAGACATTTCTAAGCTGTCATATGGCACTCCTAAAAATGCTTCTAAACCATCATGTCCCTCTAATAATATAGAAAAAATCCAATAAATTTTGAAGAAAAAAGAGAACCATTGGTTCACTAAATTAGATGGACCAAATATTATTTATAACCATTAGATCTATCTTATGAAAAAAAATCTAACTCTCAACCTGGCACCACTCTGACATGTACTTGCACTACTATTCCAATTCTCTTTTTCCTCTTATTCCCGACCATGGAAAAAACACCATCTCCTCGAAGCTAACCTGATCAAGACATAATTCTATACTCTATACTGAACATAAGCCAACATGACAAGAATAATGGATCGTGTCATCTGGTAGTGAGCTGTCAAGGCTCTAGCAAAATTTGTAAAATAATTTAAGAAATTATAACATCTAAATCATATAGGTAAATCTTTTTACCAGCTTATGTTGGATTATTTATTACTAAATTTGTAGTTAAAGAAATAATTTCATTATATTTAATCTTTCAAAAGAAGTAACTTTTACATGTCATTTCAGAAATTATAAAAATTATAAAAAAATAACGATATATACTTTGTAATAGTACATAACAACACAATAATTAAATCAAATCTACAATGATAAGAATATTCATATTTTTATTGTAGGAAAAAAGTTTCTATTCTATTTGTAGTTAATAAAAGAAATAGTTACTAAAACCCGTTAAACATGTAAAAAAATACAATTATATAGACACGTACTATCGCCCCCTGCCCCTCTCGATAACCCCCTTCTCTCCTCTCCTGTTAAATTTCTTCCTCTCCTAATTTTAATTAACAATCTAATATAAAAAATATGTCAATAATTAGAAAGTTAAATTATTATAATTCTTAATTTATATACTTTTTTCTTTGTTTGAATGATTATTTTATTTATAATTAATAAATATTGCAAGAGCCGTATTACCCATGTTTCGCTATATGAAAATATAAATACATCATTTCGATATATACCCTTGTCCTTTGCATGGCAACCAAATAGAACAAAATGGAACATGAAAAGAAAACATAAATAATACTTACCACATAATCTGAAATCATCCTATACCCTCCATACCGATCTTATGTCGTCACGTGTTACATTTTAAAAATTAGAAAAAAAAAACATTTAGAAACTGCACAACAAGGAAAACAATAATGGACCATCGATTTTCACTTAAAATCTGTGCATCCATTTTTTCCAACCATTGGATCTACTTTTAGCTGCAATGTGTTGTGTCTTAAAAATTAGGAAACAAAACATTGGCTCATCAGTTTTTACTTAAATCATTTAGAAGAAAAATAAAAACAAACTCCCCTACATCTCGCCCTCCACCCTCACATACGCAAAGCACAACACTACTCGCCGTTCCCCTCTAGGCTTCGGCCCGTTCCCCCTCCCTTATTTTTTTTATACGCAAATCAATAATGCTAAAACAAGCATAAATTTTAATCTACACATCTGATTTCTGATGAAACTATTGCTCCATTCATATTTAAACCAAAAATTTAAGATTCATAACTCCTATGTTATCAGAGAAAAAAAGACTTGTATAAAATAAAACAGAAAACAGACAAATATCAATCGGGACTAAATTGAACCATTTGAAGAAAATATAATATCTTCGTGAAACTATTGGTTCTTTCTTTTCACTAAAATTGGAACAATCATTACATGCTCCATTATGATAACATAGATATGAATGGCCTTATGTCTTTATTATACCATGGCATTATGAGTTTACTGACATATATTGCACATATAGGCCACACTGAGATAGCAACATATATATATAGAGTTGGTTGAAAATTTATATTTGTTTTTGTTAAATTAAAATTTTAGGACTCATATTTACTAGGTTTTTTTAAAAAAAAATAACACTATAGAAAACACATATAACAGGGAAGCAATGTTTACCACATGTATATTTTCTCGGTAATGTTGTTATGCAAAAAATTGCATCAATGTGAGCCAACTGAAAGAAGGGCTAACATAATGGTTCAAATAGAACACATTTGTTAGCAATAATACTTCTTTAGGATTTGCAATAAAACCCCTAAACATTCAACTAAAAATGAAAAGCACCGTACTTTGTATTCACATAATTAATTTGTTAGATATGTTTTACAAACCAACTAATCTGCCTCCTTCCTTGATAATAAAGAGATAATATATAATTGTTTATAGGGAGGAATTAAATATTATATAGTTTAAAGCTAACAAATGGCTCGGAGAAATTATCTAACCAATGCCAATGAAGAAAATGTCTAGAAAACGGTACTTTTAAAACATGACAATGTCATCCGGTTGATATTCCACTCTTAAACGCAACCTATATTACATGCCCGCGCATTCGCGCGGGCCACCTTCCTAGTTCTTAAGAAAAGTTTCTACAATATAATAAAAACAAGAATAATGTGAAACCAAAGTACTAAAAGGGATTTCACGATGTAGCCTAACTTAGCTAATACAACAATGATTAACCGGATGACATACATGATTATATGAATCAGTAGAGACCACTTCTAAGACTAATGAAGTATCAAGTTCAGTTATGTATTGGCCTTCGACGTTTCGACCGTATATAATCGGTGTCCCACCACCATGGCAGCTTGCCCTTCTTGAATGCCCCGGCCTCTTCATGCAACCCAGCGGCATCTGCGTTGTTCCAATCAAAAGTTGATGCAAAAAATTTAAGAAAAGTTTCACCATAAATATATAGCGGCAAATCATTAGCTTCAAAAATGTAAACCACTTCAAAAAGGGAAAAAAGAGAGGGCTCATTCGGACCACAAGAATTCCATGTTAAAAATAAACCACATCGTGTAGAATTCCTACGAAATTCTTGGGAAATTCCTACACTCCAAAAAGCCCTAGACGAGCGAGAATGAGGAACAAGTCGGCTCACCTGCACTTGCTTGTAGAGAAGCAAGTGCAACAAACAAGGCAGCAACCACAAGGATCAAACATACAACTTGAGAAGCTCTCATGAGGCTCTTCTGCTGCACTTATTCCCCTGTGCTCTACTGAACCATGTTGGTTGAAGAAGATTGCAGGAGAAATGGGGACAACCAAAAGCATGGGTCTTTATACTTCCATGTTGTCTCATTCTTGGAGTTTGTGACTACGGGTAGATATGGTTGTCCTAACACCAAAATCTTGCCACAGACTGAAAAATGGTGACAGGATCTTTGCATAATTTCCAAAGCTGTCCCCGGTACGTTTTGTCGGCTACCCAACACGTTGGTAGTGTCATGGTTAATTTTGGTATCTATACTTTTATATAAAGTTGTCCACTAAGTCTAAAGTTTAACATGCAATCATGCCACATCATCATCTACTAGCAATAATTACATATGTATAGTCTCACGCAAGCATATAGCAACATCTGTAATATTTTAACAAATATATCTATCATTTTTATAATATTTAACATATACTTATCAATATGTTTCACCTTAAAGTGCGAATATCATTTTTTTATGATAAGTACTGATAAACCCTAATGTTTCATTATTATTTTTCCTTTTTACTCCTAACTTGATTGCCAAAAAAATATATTAAAAATTGCTTAGTAATTTTGCAGCAACGATAATTGAGCTGATTCCTTATAATATTGTTAAGAAAAAAAACTGATTCCTATAAATTTCCGACAAAATTATCGTGAAATTTCTGTGTTCAAATTAAGGACTCACTTCCAATACTTTTGGTTTAGTAAAACCATTTAGTCATCAAATCAAGCGTGCTTTTCCCTGAAAATGGTGCATAGATCAAAGATCTTGTTCCTGTTGGTTGATGAAAGGCCTGCGCTGTAATTTATTTAGCAAAGAAATGTTTTTAAAAAGCAAAGCCCTAGCTACGGCGTGAATTAAGTAAACGAGCACCAAGGAAATCTGTCTGGTCTGAGCGGGAATCTCGAGGCCTGTTTTAGTGGTGAACCACATGATTAAGCTCTAAACTAGGCTTAATCATAGCCAAACACATGGGTTGCACAACGCTTACTGCTTACATTACTGGATTGCAGCTGCATTGCATTGTTACAGCAAAATTTGCAGTCTCGATGAGTCAAATCCACCGTAAGTTTCGGTGAACAACAGAACATTCATCCTTGCCACTCGCCAGTAAAAGGTTTACCGTAAGGTTCATTTTTTGTAAATTTGAGGCTTCATAGAAATGTTACGAGAATAGTAGAGATCAACTGGAGATTCAAATTATGAGCTCACGACTTAAAAATATTAATATCTACAATTACACACACAGGTAGAAATTTGTGATGTCTCTAAATTTTGTTCCTAGCGTTTCTTTGACAGAGCATGTTAGGAAAAGTACGGGTGCACGTCTTCTATGTAATTGAATAAGAAAAGAAATACTCTCTTCTTCTCAGATCATAAATACTTGACATTTATAATTAGAATTGGTCAAACATTTGAAATTTTTTACTAACAATACATTCTCATATTTAGTGAAAAGTACTACAATAATATCAGACTTATTAGAGTTTACTAACTCATCTCATATAAAATTTAAGTTTAAATCGAATCACCGTACTTGATGTATTTTATAGTACTAAGATGAACATAGGTAGTCTAATATGATTTTAGGTTTTTATATTCTAAGATAAAGAGAGTAGTAGGGATCGTAGACCTTTCCCTCACATAGCATACGCAATTATCACTTCGCTGTTAAGATTCTCTTCTTCAGCTTTAGATGTGCCAAATCAATTTGTTCAAGTTTCAAACGAAACATTGGTGTTGGTATCTAAATTTGAGAAAGTCAATTAGCAGAAGTATGGCATGCCACGTAACGCATAGCAAACGAACTTTTAGCCCCAAAGTGCGGCGAAGTTTGATGACAAATCCAGCGCATAATGTGCTGACCAGAGTTCAGTATGATGTGTATTGCAAGTATGGCTATCAAGCTCCTAGGTTTGGCAATCAAACACCGGACATCTCGAAATTCTGCTGGAGCTGGACCAACTTGATCTAACGATGAACAGTTTAATTTCCATCAAGTTATTAGTGCTAATGCATACTAAATCCATACCGTTTACAGATAAATCAATTGTGGCATATACCGAATGGAGATCACAAAGGAATGCGCACATCAATGGATCATGGTCTCTAGCATTTTAGAAATGCACATGGACAAATTAGTCCTCAACCTGCGGCTTTGTGCCGCTGATATGCCTGAATTGCGCTGGATAGAGTAGGAAACAACTAATATATTGCCTTGTACTTGAGGTTCTAGCAGGAAACAGCTCTCAAGTACTCGTGAGTTGAGAAAATTTAAATGTACAAGAGTAGCCTCAAAACCAGGACATCTTCTGGCCGACAATAAAATTATACTCAAACTTTGGATTAATCTAACCTACTTGGGGTCCGAATTCCTACTAACGTAATCTTGCCGTGTTTTTACCAGTACATCTCGGCTCTCTGAATCCAGTACATCGGCACACATATGGACATTGCTTCAATATATGTATATATAGAAGGTAACATACTTTTTTTCTGTAAAGAAATGTGGGATTACACTACACAGGGAGAGGGGGTAGGTAAGCTATGACCACCCAGGTGAAGCGCTGCGCTGACCGAAGATGTCTGGAATCCCATCCCAGTTCCCCTTCTCCCTTGCTTCCCAGTAACCGCCAATGTAGCGGTAGCTGTCGTCGTCATCCTTGCTAAACCACCTGGGTTGCCATCCTTTCTCTTGTAACCTTCGGGCCTGCAAAATTGAACAGTTTCAGGTAAGAAGTGCCAGGGATCCCAGTAAACATGCCACCACCGAATGACCTTTGCAGCAGTAGGACATGCTACTACATGCCACCACGGAATGAATATCTGAAATTGAACTTTGCGTCGTATGCAGGAGTAGGAAAATCTCTGGTGTGTGTTTGGCCTCATATGAGTGAGATTTTCGGGTCTAGCGTGGCCACATTTTTTACTGCAAAACCTTGTGGTCCAATTATGCTGTGGAACCAGCGCAATCCCCCTACTTTTCCTAAAAATATAATAGTAGTAATAAACTGGCAAAGTGGCATAAAAACTAGATATAAGAGTAACTGAACTTGAAATGCCTTGCCAAGTTGTGTTGGGCAGTTTTCTCATTTGCACAAAATATCTGGTTAGCTTAAAATCTTTAACAGCAGCATTGTAGCAGTGTTCTCGCAGCTAGAGCATCCAAGGGATGCAAATCATTTTCAGATGGCATATACAAGAGAATATCCAATTTTGAATGTAAAATGAGGAAACATAGCAACTTCAGATGTAAAGTGAGAACTTTTATCATGAAAGAACCCTTGAATAGTTACACTAGCACGACCATAATTCAGATGAGAAAGCATCATTCACAGTCTGCCAGTTTCAGCTCCATATGGCATTTTCTAACTATGTATTTATATGACAAAAACAAATACTCCCTCCGTTTCACAATGTAAGACTTTCTAGCATTGCCCACATTCATATTGATGTTAATGAATCTAGACACACATATATGTTTAGATTCATTAAAATCTATATGAATGTGGACAATGTTAGAAAGTCTTACACTGTTAAACGGAGGAAGTAAATACTATGGAGGCATGCTCATCATTACATAATGGATGAAAACTTTACTTCATAATTAATGCCTTTCACCTTTCATATGTCCAAGAAAATATGCCATGGCAAACAGAAGCAAAAAACATATAAACACAAATGAATCAAACCAAAGGTTGGAATACCTGTCGCTGCAGTTGTTCAAGCCTAAGTTTCTCTGCATTAGCCATCTCATATTCACCATTTTCAAGATGCCTTTGATCAGGCCTCAGACGAGAATCAGTAGGAGGCAACTTCTTCGCCAGGTTAGCTGTCAATTCATTTAGTGAAATTGCAAAAGGGGAAAGGTTGTATCGTGTTTGGTTCAGAGACTTGTCTCTCTCCCACAAAAGAACTGCTTCTGACATTGGGTCATACCCCTTGGGTTTTGCACTTGGATCCCCAAGAACATAATACATAGCTTCATCCCATTTTCCGATTAACATAGCAACTTTCTGCCCTGTTCTATTATCTTGCACAAATCCATGCACCTGCACGAGCAATTCAAACTATTTAATGTGGGAGGCTGGGAACAGTGTCCAATTAATATGTTTATAAAACCACAAAACAGACTACTAGATATTGATATGCCTACCTTTCAATTTGACCCAAGGTGTAAGAAACATTAAATACATAGTTTGCAATGGACCAAAATTCACAACAGTACAACTACCAACAGAAGCAAGACGTGATAGCTTGAAGGAGAAAGGGCTAGATGAACGAGAATGGTTCATAGAGGACTTGGGAGGATGAAGAATAGACCAGAGAACTTTGCTCTGAAACTGGTAATACTACAGAAATACTAAGTATAAATAGATATCCACCTAAACCTAAACCATGGCTATACAAGCTAATCTAATGCCATTAAATGATTAATCAAGCTTATAGTTTGGCTAAAAGATTTGAACTGACTAGTGTTAGAGGCCCATGTGGCTAATCAGATAGCTGATACTGTGCACCTGCTGTTGCTAAGCTCCTTGGACTCTTCAAACATGACATAGTTCATATGCAAATCTATTCAAATTCATTGTGCCTCTTCAACAAAATCAGCACACACCAGCCAGTCAGCAACAATTCTCTTAACATTTATCCAGAAATAAAGGATAACATATAGGTCACATAATTGGAGTTTGTACCATGTTTATAGAAGCACACGACATAGTTTATCATCAGTACTTTCAAATTATAAATTTATGTTTTCGCTAACATATAGTGTTATATTAATGGTAATAAATAGTTCACAAGATTATCTTGGCAAAAAAAAAAGTGTTACTTTTGGGGTGGTGGGAGTAGGCATCAAGTGCTTCTCTCCTGTGGATGGACATTACCATACATAATTTTTAGAAGCTTTCTTTTAGTTAAATTTAGAGCAAACAGTCAGATCTTTCCACACTGATTTATTTTTATTACACCGGTTTTCACTCCTATACTGCAGTTGCCACATATATGCCGAAAGTAAAAACAAGGGATGAATAATGGAATGGGTGAAATTTCAGTGGCATATGAGGAAGCTTCTCTATGGTTGAATTTTTTTCACAACT